AACTTTCTTAGTAGTGTGATGCGCCCAATCGCATTCTTAGCCATTTCCGAGGATCCGCATTTTTGTATGTATCTAAGTCTTAAAAAACGCATCTAAAGCGATTCAACTGAGGTTTCAGTCTTCTTAAAGCCTTTCGTCGCTAAATTTGGTTCCTGTTTTGATAGAATGACGGGGTCAGCGAAGAGTCATGAAGACGACTATAATGTTATTAGGAATAATGATGATTGAATTGTTTGCCTGCCGCATAATCCAACGTTAGTTAAGTTGGCGACAGGTTTGCATTCACTATTCGTTTGGGCCTGCCCTTGGCACGTGAGTCTTACCATAACACTCTTCTTCCTAAAATTCGCTTAGGTATGCTTATAAAGACGTCGTGCAAACTAGAAGTCGCTGCTTCCAGAATATTCACTGGTCCTTCACTCCACCGTCTGAACAATCTGGGTGTATTTTGATTCATATTTCCTTCACAGGGCATTCGTTTCACCTATCTAAGCCAAGGCTTGGAATGCGTTCACTTGGAAGTTTTCGAAATTTGGAAGCCTATTTTTGAGTTCCTTTTTTAAGTTCAGCGATGATACCAATGTAAACATGCAAAAAGTCAAGTTCGGTGAACTTAAGTTCGCCAAACTTCGTTGATTCCTTTTTAGTTCAACTAATTTGGTGAATGTATCTTTCGTTTTTTATGCAACTTTAGTTTTCTTTCGGTTGGCCTGTAGTGTCTTCTGAATCCCCCAGCGAATTTATTAGTTTTTGGATCGAACAGAACCGAATTCTCATTTCCCCTAGGAGGGATTTATGCTGCTATAACGTATTTCAGGTGCCTTGCAGTTATTCACCTTGATGTAGCATTATGAGCTAGAACTGTAGGTTTCTGCTACCTGTCCTTGAAGTTGCAGTCTTGGAGGACTTGCATTTTTGTCATCCCTGCTTGTTCTCGTGGCAGATTTATTCAGTTGGCTTGGAATTCGCCTAATTAGGCCTCACCAGCGCTGTCTACTGAACAATTCGGAATTATGAATCTTTTCAAGTCGCTTTGGAGCCACGTGTTCACTGGTCCAGTCTGATGGGTTAGATCTGTTTCATGTTTTTATTCTGCGACGAGCCAGTACTATTTAAGATCTATATTCAACAGAGACAAGGGAGAATGGAAAGCCTCCATCTTGTGTATTTGCCGTTCTCTGCCAGTTGTAACTTGACCTACGACCAGGAAGGTCTAAAGTCTACGTACTGGTCTGACAACTCCTTTAGGGACTTAAATGAGTGTTATTCGGTTGGGTTAATAGAGAAAAGAAGTCAGAAGCAACCATTCCGACGTTGGCTGCTGTTGTTGGTTGTAATAATGGATCAAGAGCTCTTTGGTTGAGAAGTTTGGACAAGTACGTTCAGGGTAGTTTTGGATGCTGACCTTCAGTTGAACTGGCCTGAACAGAGTCCACTATTAATCGACAGGTTTATTGCGGTTTGACACTACGAGGTCTCGTTTTCTAAAGTAACATTTCAAAACTGCGTTTTTATCGGTTTGCAATTGACTTTTTTGTTCCTATTAGTCTTCATTTACTTACCCATTAATGCTTTTTTATGGAAACGCTGTATCACACTATGTAGACCTATCTGTTCCTGCCCTGGACTGCTTTGACTTTGAGTTCTGTTTATTTTCGTCAATTGCCCACGGTTGTGGTCGCGCTCATCAATCAGCTTCATTTGTTTTTTTTTTCAGCGCTTTTTTGATGGAGGACCACAATGGGAACGCGTAACTCTCTGATGATGTGGTATTTACTAGCTAGGGAGAAACTTTACATTTCTGTATTTGATTATGGTTTTTCTACTTTTTTACTGCTTTCTGTTTTGACAAATAGATTTTCCTTTTTCCACAGTCTCACAATTTGGTTGAGAAGTTTCCTATCTTGGTGCACCGGGCCTTACCTCGCGGTGGTGTGGGGGAGGGGGACACTTCTATAAGACGCGTATCACGTGGCTGCCATAATTAGTGTACGGTTGTTGGTTTTACCACAGAAGACGAAATATTCGTACGTTTTCTTAACTTGACCTCTGGTGCTAGCAAACATGTGGAATGTGAGTCACTCAGTGCCCTTTGTGTAAAGTCCTGGTGTTTTGGAGGTCAGGTCATGAACGCAGTACGCGCAGACGAGATCAGGCAAGTCAGCAGCTGTGCCCATTACCCACACCAGTTCACTGGCCGGCCCGGACGGCGGTTGGAGCTTGGGAATGGGAATAAAGGGTGAGGTCGACGACTCAGCGCATTTTGATTATAAACAATCTGAGGTACGCTAAAAGCCGTGACTTGGACGGCTCCCAACTGGCAGGATAACTCGGACTTTGTGGT